TGGTCCTTCAGGCCCCTCCGGCCCTCCTGGACTTAAAGGCCATCCTGGTAATCCAGGTCCTCCCGGCCCTGCTGGTTTAACAGCTAAGGGTATCTCTGGTCCTCAGGGTCCACCTGGAGTTCCTGGCGCAAGGGGTAATGATGGTATTCCAGGAGCTAGCGGTCCTCCCGGACCTCCTGGCCCTCCAGGTGAGACCGTGTACTACCACGATGAGAAGAGCATGCCAGTCAAGTCCCATGAAGTTGTGATGTCTCATGAGATGATGAAGGCACCAATGTCTGCATTCAGCGCTGTTCTGACCATGGCCTACCCTCCAGCAGGAAACCCAATTGCATTTAACCAGGTTCTGTACAATGGAGAGCACCATTATGATTCCCACAGCGGTGTATTTACATGCCAGATTCCAGGCCTCTACTATTTCAGCTATCACATTCATGTCAACGGTGCCAACGCACTGGTGGCTCTCTACAGAAACGAGGAGCCAGTTCTTTTCACATATGACGAGTACAACAAAGGCTTCCTTGACCAGATGTCAGGCAGTGCTGTACTTTTGCTACATGCTGGTGATAGGGTCTTCGTTCAGGTGCCTGATGAGGAGAGTAACGGCATATTTGCAGCAGATAACGTTCACTGTGCTTTCTCTGGGTTCTTGATTGCCTCAACGTGATTTCACAAACCCGTAAAAACCTCAAAACCATACCAACATTAAATAACACGGAGAAGCCAATTCGATTGCAAAATTACAAATTATGATGGTATGTTAAAGGATATGGTTGTTATTCTCCATGTACCTCGATTGAAATCCTTGAAAGGATGAAAGTCATCAAATTGTGAACGGAGGTGTTGATTACATGATCAAAGCTAAAACCAAAAACCCCAAAAAAAAAAAACAAAAAAAAAAACTGTGCTGTTAAAATTGATTCCCTTTCCTTCGTCATCCTTATCTGTTTATTTCACATTTAAGTAAGACAAAAAAAGTTTTCTCACGTGGTGCTCTACAACTTCCTGTAACATTTACAGCACGTCTTTTACTTGTGTTTGTTGTACTGATGTCTTTTGTTTTACAATTTCCCAGTTGAATACATTTAAAACAGGCCAAACTGTTGTATTTTATGTTTTAGAGATCGGCATTCACACAAGCACTGTGACTAGAAAAACAGAAACCCAGATAAGAAATTTAAACTTTTGTTTCAAAACAAATATGGTCCGTTCAAAGTGTTAAGTTATGTACCACCTTTTGACCTAAATAAGGAATTAAAGTTCTAGTCTGAAAAGAGAAATACCTTGGTGTTTTTTTTTTCTTCCTTCACTCCATCTGACATAATGACAGCACTTTGTTCAAACTAAAGATGCCCAAATACATGCCTCAAATTCTTTGTTTTATTTTCATTCAGGATAAAGCTTAAAGCTTTAGCTTCCTCTGGATGCTCATATGATACGTGCAACTGAGAGAATTAACAGTTTACCTTTGAATGCAGATGTGTTGTAATTGTGGTCGATGGCAGCGACGATGTCTTTCCAAAAGTCGGAAGTGACCTTGTGTCCTTGCTGTTTAGAGAAGGAATAGACTTTTTTTTCCCGAAATTTTCAAAACAAATTAAACTAAAAATTACAAAAAAGCAAAATAAATATATTTGAAGCCGTACAGTCCATACCTTGTGCAACATATCCACAACCCTTCCGCAGAGAAGAGCGCCCGGTAAATCAAAGTAGTTGTCGTAGAAGTAGTACTTTGCTGCAAAGAGCAAAACAATTGATTAGCAGATCGATTTAATCTATCGAGGGAAAAAAAAAAAGAAGTTTGCAACAAGTAGTCCAAAGGTTGATTTCTGTAAAGCAATACTAATGACTATCTTTCAAAGAACCTGAACCCTAAGAACACACAGTAAAATGGAGCCCCAAACTCCATTATGAGAACCAGGTCGGGAAGCATCAGTTTGTTGTGGTCGGACGTTTAGCTTACTGCGCTTCACAGTTTCTTCATTTGGTATACTATTACCCCTTATTATGGCTGCAAAGAAGTTAGGTGCACTCAGTATCGCTAATAATAATAATATATGGGTGATGGCGATATAACCACGAAACACCATGGGTCGAGGACATCGTAAAACCGAAGACAGCCTGTTTCAACATATCACACAACAGAGCACGTAGCAAACCCTTAGACAAATGTAATAGCAGCATACCAGATCTGGTGAATGAGGTATTAAGACTGTTGAAATGCTTCCATTCCCTTGTAGGCCCATAATATTTGCTGATGTCTTTTGTGCTGAGATTAGTGGTACCGTGTGTAGCTCTGTAATGAGAAACACAAAACAACAGATTTGACACTTAAGTCAAAGTTAAAGATCTCGGAACACCAAAGATCATATCATAACATAGAGACAGAAGAACCGTACCGTAAAACTGTTCCATCCTCAGCCAATTTCACAAGGTTTCCTTCCTCTAGATCCACTACTAGTCCTTTGAAACTATACCCCCCAAAAAAAAAAAAAAAAAACAGGAACTAATCAAACATTATTCGATAACGTAATATCTGAGCGGCTATAACCAATGTGTCCAAACTTTTTCTAAGAGCAGGCAGCGTCAAAATTTAAGAAGACATCACACCAATATTGTGTGTGACTTTTACGATTTAAGCAATTGAGAGGCTTAATATATAAGACAACTCCAAAAGTTATTTTCTATTGACTAATATGAATTAGTAAAGAAAACAAAAAACTGTTTTATAACAAATAGTCTCACCAGAAATCCCATGTGGCTGGAGTCAGACTTAGCAGTTCTGGGTCAAAACCCTTGTGTTCCACCAGGTATCGTGCAAAGCTCTCATAGATGAGCTGAGAGTGGGAACAAGATGTAAGGGAAGGAAGGAGAGAAAGCAAAGGTGAGGAATAAAAAAAAAAAACAACAACTGTGAGACTGTCGAAAAGACGTACTTTTGTTTAGTGAAGTTTAGTGAAGTTTAGTGAAAGCAACTCTTAACACTTCCTACAAGCAACCATTAAGATGTATGTTGTATGAGTAGGACAACCATTGTAACACATACCAGATCCCCCCCCCCCCCCAAAACACAGCACTCAAAAAAATATAATAACACAATAAAAAAATGATTAAGTTGAAAACTGAGCAACATGGATTTTTTTTCTAAGGCAATTAAAAACTTCTTAAGTTTTTGAGCTTTGGCGGGCAACATTTGACCCGCAGGCCTTAAGTTTGACACATATGTAGGAAGAAGGATCATTCCTTTATGCTGCAATAAAGATTTAATTTATATTAAATTATATTATATAAAATGTTTTTTTTCTATTTTTTTAGACAGATTCACATCAAGTCCCAAAAATTAGGATTTGTGGAGGCCATACAAGAACATAAACTACCAAATTGGGGTTTTTGTTTCTTTTGTTGTTGTTACGACAAAAAATGTTATGGAATTTGCAATGTGGATTAGACTTTTCATGCTGAGAAATGTATAAATATATGTATATACTGTATTACTAATAGACTTTAAACCAGGAGCAGTGCACCATATATCAGTCAATGTTAACCAATGTTAACACTTCTAGGCCTTAATTGATTGTCATCATTATCAGAACCTGATAACATGTATATATTTATCGGTACAAACCACCGTATGTGTTGCTGCCACCTAGTGACTGGAGGCTTATGTCTATATGCGTGCCATATTCCATTGGAAGCCCCTCGGCTGGTATACATGTAACTACTCCATTACAGAAAAATACATGTTTTTGCAATTGATTCTTATTTATTCAAGCTACAAATATTACATTGCCGTGTAATAATAAAAACAAAATTTTAATTTCATAAGTTAAAAAACTCTGCTGCATGGACCTTACCAAATGTTTTTCAAGCTCCCACGGGCCACACAAAACGGCTTCATGGGCCGCATTTGGCCCCTGGGCCTTGAGTTTGACACATATGATATAGACGTACAATGTTCTTAAAATCGCATATCGAGTGAATAATAGTTAAAATAAAAAGCTTTGCAGCACGATTTTTGGGCCCAATTCTTGACAACTAGGCTTCTTTCAAGGTGAAACGCAATAGCGAGGATAGCAAAAAGATCTACGCGAAACCCTGTACATAGTGTATGTGACAGGTATGACAGAATTTACGGTCAGTAGTCACTAACGGCACTGCACGACGACGTTGTGTTTCAAGACACTATGAATGTCAACGGCTCTCATTCGAAGACATGAATGAGCATCATCAGCCTGGAAGTCACGCAGCATCGGGAGCAACAGCATCTCACTCACACAGACGTCCCTCCGCCGCTGACACGTCGCATTATTACATGGTCCTTTCTCATTATTATATAAACGGAGACCGGCTGTTGAAGGTTATTGACAAGTCTGAGCAATAAATAAATAAATAAATAAATATGTCAATTCGTCTAGTCAACCCGCAGACTGCAAAGTGCATGTATTGCCTGCGGTGTTCATGACGCTAACTCACCCTGGAGGTCTCTTTCAGATGGTAGCGGCAGAGCGTGTGGTCCAGGTCGAAGCCAATAACATCGCAGTCTGACAGGCTGAAGAATTCGCTCATTGTAGCTGAAGCTAAGTCACCGTTCACACATCAACAGCGCAACACAAAACGCCACACTACACTGGCGGTGTGTAAATCCTAACTCTTCAGTTCCTGACCGCTATTGTTTTCTTCTTCCAGGCACCAATATATTGTCACTAACTAGCAATGGGCAATAAGTTACTCGAACGGCGAAAAAAAAAAAAAATCGCTAAACTCGTGTGCGCCAGGAGAAGGCGGTAAAGAGGCGAGAGTGGGGAGCGCAGGGGGAGTGAATAGGGGGGGAAACGTCAATTGCGCAGTTCTTCCGGGTATTGCTACCGTAATGCATAGTAAGGACGAGCAGTGGGAATTTACCAAAGTGTTTGCACGCCGAGTTACTAATAGTTGTTTAATTTTGAAAGTTAAAATATAAAATGCACAAACACTTCATATGTTCGTGATGCTTTGTTAAATTATATTTAATCAAATACTTATAATAAACGTGTGCTTATTTATAATGTACTTTTTAACGTAACTTTTATTGTATTTTTATTTATATATATTTGAAGGGGGCGCTATTGTATATAAATAAATTATGAAAGCCCCAACCTTCATTTCCATAGTTATAATTCAACTTCAATTTGTTAATATTTAAGATTATTTTGCATCTTACTTTTCTATAATAAAACGCAAGGTAACGTGCAGTCCAGCAGTTGGCAGTAATACATACTGTAATGTCTCCTGGTTGATTATTATTAAAGGTTAAGCGAAGCTAGAATTGGTTAGTGTGGTTCTGAAAATGCACCCGGTATAAATGGTGAATGGACCTCAAATGTAATATAATAAAATACGGGTAAATCGAGTATTTATGATATTTTATTATATATACATTTTTTTTATAAATTACAATTTAATAATAATATAAATATAAATAAAAGTACATCACATAATTAATTATAGTCAATTCAATAATTAAAATTTTTATTATATATTATGTTTAAAAAAATAAATTAAAAAAATGTATACAATATATACATCATAAAAGCCTATATTTTCGTCGCACTGATGTCCTGCTGTTTACCCGCGTGTCCACTAGAGGTCTCGTGGCACCATGTCCATCTCTGCTCATATGTAGCCGCTCCCCATTCCTCAGCAGGTGCAGGTGAGTGTACCATGAACTTCCTCCTTAGTTGTGTCTCCAACCTGACTTACCAGTAGGACGCAGTCAACTTTCCGTGGACGATCTATTCGGGATTTATTTATATTCCACACAATTAACACACTTTCATGACTTAAAATGAAAGAAGGTTCGAGGAGAAGTTTGTTTTATTGAATTCAGATTTGCGTCTGTATTCTATATGAGGAGTGCGTAAATAATTATGAAAAGCGGCAGTATGACAGTAATCCAGGAGCGCTTATCTCTGTGCTGGCAACGCTTTCTGTCTTGTTTTAAGAAACCGACTCAGGCTAACAGTGAGCTGACTGTCAACCCTGCGGAAACTGTGACAGTGCCTGAAAACGACGCAGCGACAGGCGGAGAGCTGTACATCGCTCTTTACGACTACTCACCCCGCACGAATGGTGACCTGTGCTTCTACGCCGGAGACCTGCTGGAAGTTCTGGACAGAAGCGCAGGAGAGTGGTGGTTCGCTAAAGCCCACTCTGGCCTGTCCGCCTCCAAACAGGGATACATCCCTTGCAACTATGTGGCCCCAGTGGAGAGCGTCTACGCAGAACAGTAAGTGCTAACCTCTTTTTTTTTCTTCTTTTTTTTAAAAATTATTTATCCTTTTTTTTCAATGAACGAACATGTAAAAACATATGTAACATTAAGATAAATCTTTTGGGGTTATTTACCGTCAGGTAAACATTAAAACTACCCCCAAAAAAACAAGCGAATCATCTGCATATATGTTTATGTCGTTAACTATGTAGGAATAGTTTACGAAGTTACATGTTGTGGCTAGGGCCTGCAGTGGCGTTTTAAGTCAAAAATATTTGGTTTGTTTATTGTGGGCCTAGAAAAGCATGTTGCTTAGATGTTTAGGGCTTCCTTAGCTTACTGCTACTGAGTTAAAGAGCGCCCTCTGGGCTATTAAATGCACAATTTTTCACATATTTCGTTCTCACAAATACATTAATAAAGGCTCAGGCTCACATATGGAGTGTGATGTTATTAAAACATAAATGAAAGCAAACCCTTTTAGCGTGATAATGTTAATGTATTTGGAACAAGTCGATACTAAATGGGAATATTAAATCATAGGAACTGAACTGATAAATTTAATCATTAAGACAATGAAATAAACGTAAAAAAAACTAGCCTAATCTAATCTCCTTGCTTCTCCAAATACTTTCCCAAAGTAGTTTTTTTTTTTTTAGAAGTTCTTTCCGCTGTAATAATAAAGTTCTCTTCAGTTTTCTTCCAAGACTAGCCTAGAACTATAACTACCATTCCAGCTTTATATTTTTTAAAGCTGTAACAGCTAACTACATATTTCCTGTTTCGGTGTTGTTGTGTTGCTTTGAACCAGTCAATAATTGTCTCGACCAGGAAGTCCAACCTGTGAGGTTAATAATTTCCCAGAAAGCAGCCTGCAGAAATACAGGCTTGAAAAAAACTAATGATCTAATGTGAAACTTCTTAATTGGCCGTTCTCTAACTGTGCCATGGGCAAGTGAAAAATCTAGAGTGTACTAGCCTGCATAAACAGTTGATTTTTTTCCTGTCATGTCTATATTTTGATAAAAGTGGACGGATCACTGCTTTTTTCTATAGCATTTGTCACGGCATGCCAAAGTGACGTAATGCGAAATATACATCGTTTCACTGGTGAATTCTTCAGCTACTCAGTTTCTACGTCAAACCAGTTTCTGCTCAGCTGCAATCTGGTTTGTCCAGCTTTTGTTTACTGGGATTAATAGTTTCCTATAAACCCCTGGATTCGTCCTGGTTCACCTCACATAGTTTCACTCAGGAAAGGGACGTAAGGCTACCAGCGCTTAACCCCACAAAGTCAGTGATGGTAACCTTAATGTGACCCATATTGATGATTAGTTACCGCAAAATAGCGAGGGACTACTGTATCGTAGTATTTTATAGTGTTTTATTTCCAATTTAATTTCTCATAATCACAATATTAAGCTTTTGTTGTTCGTTGTTTTCCATATGAAAAAAAATTAACATTACATATCTGGAGAGAATGGAAAACGTACACAATTGCAGTCAATTTTTCAATAAATAATGAGTTTGACCTGCAACTTTGTTTTTTTTTTTCATTTTGCCCCACTATGAATTTGAGTTTGACACCCCTGATTCAGAGGCTCAGGCCCTTTGCAGGTCTTTTAAGTTAATTAGCTGCCTAAGGTGTGACACCATGAGTTTCTATAACATAAAATATTCTAATTGTCTGGATTTGGGGTTTTCATTATCTGTAATCCATAATGAACAAAATTATTAGAAACATAAGAAATATGTCTTTCAACGTGTAACAAATCTATATAATTCACAAATTCTACATTCTGAAATGATTGACTTTATATTCACTTTGTATTCATACTTCTCGTCCACATGTACTACAGTTGCAGTACTGTAGTCAAAGGTTAAAATGTTCATATGAGCGTATGTGTCCGAGCCTCTATGTCTTATCATCTTTATCCGTCTGATTTCAGATGGTACTTTCCCGATGCCAAGAGGCCCGATGCCGAGAAAATGCTTCTTACTGGAGAGAACCAAAATGGCGCTTTCCTTATCAGAAAGAGCGAGACTCAGAAAGGAGAGCACTCCCTGTCAGGTGAACAAAGAAATCAAATTGACATTGCATTCTCCATTTCAAAGCCACGGTTAATTACGGCTCACTCGTATTTAGTCCTGTACAGACGGTTTGTTCTGTTTACCAGTTGTTCATTTGCTCAACTGCAGCCACATACTTAATGGTGCCTCCGGTGGCTCCCCCCTAGTGTGGTACGAAGGGACTCAAGTATTTTATTAATATTATTGTTATCCATCATCAATCGTCTTCCCCTTTGAAAATAAATGGGTTTGTTTTTTTTGAAAATTTTAAAAATCCACTTTCAGTAATTGCCTCCTGATGTAGGCAGACGGTCCGTACACAGGTGTTTGGTCAAATTCCTACCTGCATGTTGAGTTGACCAATGACCTCTAACGTAAAACAATTTCATCTCAGGGCTTGAGGAAATTCTGACTCGTTCTCTCTCTGATTCTCCGATACACCTACAGAGTGAATGAAAGGGACTTTAATCCCATGGATTAAAGTCCCTTCCATTCTCTTGGTTGAGTTGTGAGAGTTGTGAGTCATCAGCATAGGTGTGAATATATCTTCACTACATGCAGTTTAAATTTTTGTTGTGGAATTGAAACACTGAGGGCTGCATTGCTTTGGATGTAGTTTGGATGAAGATAGGGTATGCTTGCTGATACCAAGCCCTTACAATAACCTGTGGAATAAGGTGGGGTAATTATATGACTTCCTTGATTATGCTTGATTAGCCTCTGGGAAAAAAAAGTCATGATTAAAGAGAGGTATTTCCATTACCTCATGATCTAAACAATGCAAGAACAAAGTGCGTTTTAATTTCTCCATTTTAAATTGGGATTAAGGAGTGAGGCAAGTCAACAAGTGACATCAACTAACATTTGAACTTAACATAGAAACTGAGACCCCAAAGAGAACCATGTACATCACAGACTATCACCATGCTTCACTGTTGGCAGTGTTTCCCCCTAACCCTAGGAGACAGCCATTTTTTTTACATCCCGCCCTTGAATTGAAATACTATTGAGCACCTGGTAATATATTTTTATTTATCTGTACAAACCACTGTAAGAGTTTCTGGCACCAGCATTCTGCATACAATCACCTGATTATTAAAAACAAATAAATAAAAATAAGCTGCTCTGCTGCCATCTAGTGGGTGGAGGCTTGTTCGTCGGTCAAGCATGAAAGTCCCCTCTCATGCCCCACTATTTGAGAAGCACTAAAGACACGGCGTTCCGTTGACAACAAAAGTTAACTTTTTTTTTTATTTTATTTTTTACTTCTTTAAACCTGTCTCTGTTTCCCAAAGACTGGGTGGGTTGCAAGAGATTTTTTTTCGGGTCATCTCACATCATGTTTCCCAGGAGTTTACGAATAATGTCTATTGACTTGGGTTACTTATGGACTATTTAATAAATCATTAGTTAGTAACTGATAGAAGTAACGGACAATAAAATCAACTATTGCGTTAACAATCGCGACTAGAACAGCAATATTAGCGATAGCTGAGTACTGCAATGACAAAGCAGATTAATGGTCTGAAGGGCATCAAGGTACACTATATAGATATCGCCGCACCCATAAAAGCAACATGTTGGCTTTATCTTTTCTTTTGTATTTTCAATGACCTTGCTTTTTTTCCATCAGCTAAATTCTTCCCATGCACAGTAAATCACACTGTACTACCTTTAACAGCCACAAAAGCTCTGGATTTGTTCAGCCACATTTGCACATATCTGGGAAATACTTAAAACTGCAACACTTGTTCTAACATACCATTCTGTTGGCCATTGTAATAAGTGTAAAATCTATGTATTAATTAAAAAAAAAACAAGACTAGAGTATTATTCTTTACACCAGGGGTGTCAAACATACGGCCCTCGGGCCAAAATCGACCCATTATAGGGTGTTCAATCTGGCCCGCTTGATGAATTTTGAAAATAAAATAAATACACTTCATGTCCGGGACATTTGTTTTAAAATATAATTCATTAAATATATATACACATATCTAATATACTTGTATTGTTTGCATGAAAACAATTATGTGATTGCACCGGTCTGGCCCACTTGATATCTTATTAGGTTGTATGTGGCCCCGAGACCAAAAATAAGTTTGACACCCCTGGTTTACACAAACTGTTTAACAACTGGTGTTTGATACTGGATGATGCCCTTTCTTTTAGTGCTGGACAGTGGGAAAGTGAAGCATTACAAGTTGCGAAAATTGGACACTGGCCAGTACTATGTGTCAAGAACGAGGTGCTTCGAAACCCTCCAGGACCTGGTGGCGCATTATTCCAGACAGTCCGATGGCCTCTGTGTTCAACTGAGGGAACCATGCAAAAAGGTAAAGAATACATAATATGATGCACTAAACGTTAAAAGGTTACTTTCAACTTATCTCGTGATCTTGTTGTTTTATTGTAGATTGAAGTCCCACAGACGTTTGGTTTGTCCTACAACACAGTGGACCACTGGGAGATTGACCGCAACTCTATCAAGCTACTGAAGAAGCTGGGAATGGGTCAGTTTGGTGAAGTCTGGGAGGGAGTCTGGAATAACACCACACCCGTGGCGGTGAAGAAGCTCAAACCTGGTACATAAAATAGTCCCTTTTTATGACTTACTCAAACGCACATTCTCATCCTCAGGATTGAATAACCCTAATTTCGTTGCATCAGCCCGTTGATTTCAACGGGAGAATTGTATTTACTGAAAGAGAGCAGGATAATCTGGGAGAATGGGGGGGGGGGAGTAACCTACCGTATTTTCCGGACTATAAGTCTCACTTTGTGTCATCCTTTGGCTGGGGTTGCGACTTATACTCAGGTGCGACTCGTATATTAAAATATATAATTTCATGTTTGTTACTTTCACACTGACAGCCACTAGAGGGCGCTCTAGCTGGCTGGTGCGACTTACACTCCGGAGTGACTTATACATGTTTTTTTCTTTTTCATTGTGCATTTTTTGGCTGGTGGGACATGTACTTTAAAGCCACTTATAGTCCGGAAAACACAGCAAATATAACCTATTGAGGGCTGTACTATAGAGGTCGGATCTGGACCTGGATTCGTGTAACATTTGACGAGTTTTAGGGAAAATTTCGAGTGGACAGTGTCAGCATGTTGTCAAGCTTTTCAAATGGCAGTCGCAGACCACATGGTGACAAGTGTACCTGTGTCACCTACGCTAACACAGTGGTATCGTAATCTGAGTAGGATTCTGACTTGTGCTTGGGATAAAGAAGAGCTAAAGGTTCACAATTCAATGTATAACGTACAATCAGTGAATGTAAACAAAGCAGTCTTCAACGTATAGCGCCAACATACTGTATGTGTCAACATGTTCGTCCGCTAGGCATGCCAACAAGTCCCTGTGTGAAATTGGTTTAACGCTGTATGTCGAAATGGTGGAACAAGAATTTTATGATAAATTCATACATAACCACAAAAGGCCGTAGGTCGAGGCTCTCCTAAGCCAGGGACACCCTGTATGTCAATGAATGAGTCTGCAGGTGCCGGCGGGATATATACGGTAATTTTTATTGTCTGTACACCTAACACCAATCCCATTCCGAAGGAGTTGACCGAGCAGTACAACATTACAATTAATGCTAGCCTCGTAATGCAGTAGTAACATTATTTTTTGGAGGGCGGGGGTTAACTTAAATATTGTAAAAAAAATTACAAGTTCTGACACTATATTAGCCTTCAACTTATATTTACATATATTTGGGTGGCCTACTAAATGTTTCCTAATTTACCATACAAAAAAAACCACTGCAGGTATGATGGCTCCAGCAGACTTCCTAAGAGAGGCTCAGATCATGAAGACGTTGCGGCATCCCAAGCTGATTCAGCTGTATGCTGTTTGCACCATGGAAGAGCCCATATACATCATCACGGAGCTGATGAAGAACGGCAGCTTGCAAGAATACCTGATAAGTAAGACAGATTTGTTTTCAACAAGAGCTGATCACTAGTAACTCCAAGTCCAGTCACAAGCATCACTGTTTCATAACGTTGCATGAGTTCATGTGTAAGGACAAATGAGGTTAGGGTGAAGCAGTGGTTCTCAGTTATTATTTGTCGGTGCAGTGTGGTTTGGGTGGCGGTCGTGGAGACTGCTGCCCCCGCAACCCGGTAACGGATAAGTGGATGAAAATGGATGGATGGACTTTATTCTGTCAGTACCAGAGTCTGAATGACATTATTTTTGAAATATTCCCAGATTATTGACAGATTCTTTAAGCATATGACAGAGTGCCAAGGGAGGAATTGTGTTTTTTTTTTTTATGAGGAGGTCAGGAGTGGCAGAGAAGTATGTTAGTTTGGTGCAGGACATGTATGAGAATAGTACAACAGTGGTGAGGTGTGCTGTTGAAAGGACAGAAGACTTCAAGGTGGAGGTGGGACTACATCAAGGATCAGCCCTGAGCCCCTTCTTGTCTGCTGTGGTGATGGACAGATTGACGGATGAGGTCAGACAGGAGTCCCCATGGACTATGTTGTTTGCAGATGACATTGTGATCTGTAGTGAGAGTAGGCAGCAGCTAGAAGAGAAGCTAGAGAGGTGGAGGTTTGCACTAGAAAGAAGAGGAATGAAGGTCAGTCGCAGCAAGACAGAGTACGTGTGTGTGAACGAAAGCTAGAACAGTGAAATAGTGAGGTTACAAGGAGCAGAGGTGGTGAAGGTGCAGGGGTTTAGGTACTTAGGATCAACCGTAATAATAATATTAATATAATAATAATCAATTCTTCTGTTAGCACTTAGCTGCTTGCACAGGTGATCGAACTACCATGCTTGAAATACCTCTGTGAGTAGGTAATAACACAGTGTTGTCATGGGGGAAAAACCTGACTTGCAGCTTTGTTATACACAGGCCATTTCCAGGGTCATTCATCACAGACGTAATCAACAACGTGACAATTACACTGAGGTGGCTGCATTCCATTTATGTGTCATTTTGAAACCTTTGCTCGCTTTAGAGCAGTTGTTCTCAAATACTTTCTTGTCATACATCCCACTGGGACTAGAGGTTAAAAAATGTCTCCATTGTTTTAATTTTTTTAAATGTATGACAATTATTTAATTGGCTATTTAAGAATGAGAACATAATGTTCTTCTCATAATAATTTCCTTCTTCTTAGTCTTTTTTTTTTTTCAAATGTTTTTAATTATTGTGTTGAACATTGATCTAACTTGTTTTTTCATTGCCTTAGCCCAGGTGTGGGCAAACTTGTTGACTCGCGGGCCACAATTGTCCTAAAATTGAAATTCATGCATAAAGGCTAAAATACTTTTTACATTTTATACGGGAAATGTGTATATTGCAGAGAAAAGGCAGAAGTATAATGATAATATGAATAAATTATATAATTTGGAACCTTTTGGCGGGCCGGATTAAATAGCTGAACGGGCCGCATCCGGTCCCCAGGACCTTAGTTTGCCCACGTCTGCCTTAGCCAAAGATGTAATGCTCCTTTATTGCACACTTAAAAGGTAAACAGTTAGATACCTTCTATTGTGATTTTTACTAATGTTTCCAATGGGGATTCATAAACAACGTTTAAATCTTTGTGTTTTTCTGCTTGAACTACAGAGGATGGGGGAAGCACACTTTCGTTGCTTGATCTGACAGAAATGGCAGCACAGGTGGCATCAGGAATGGCCTACCTGGAGTTGCAGAACTACATACACAGAGACCTTGCAGCCCGCAATGTCTTGGTAGGAGAGAACAACATCTGCAAGGTTGCGGATTTTGGACTCGCTAGGCTCATCCTGGTAGGTTTCACAAAATATTGTTTATTTATTGGACAAGACTCGGGCATAGTACGTAAGCCGGGATATGTTGCTCATCGTGGCTGACCTTACTCTGAAGTTGGTTGCGCAAAAGCAAGGGAGAGCTAACCCAGCCAAGTTCCTAAGGTGATTTATTCTAAGCAGCTCTGGATCAGGCTACCTTTTTTGGTAACTGTGTTTTTATATTGATTCAAGTGGATATATGTAATAAAAAAAAAGTCTCAAGCCTACCATTATATTAGCATGCTAATTGAGACTGCTTGTCAAATTGCCATTTATATATGAGATACATCTTGCGTATGCGCTTGGGCACATCGTCAGTCATGTAACCAGGGGCCACTGGGTGCTTCAACATCAGACACCTATGCCCAGGCAACCCGACTGGGGTGGATCAGACTCTGGGCTGTGTCCCAGAAGCCTTTGCCCACGGATCTTCCAGATCCGTCATCAGATTTCCAGATGTTGGACCACTAATGTTTCGTTGCAGAACATTCCCTCCATGTTGCTCGATTCCCACCATCCTGCTAGCTTGTTCCTCCTCCATACCCGCACTTCCTCCTGAACGAGATGTCGTTCTTTGCCCTTGGCCGTTAAGTAGGAAGTGCGGCGGTTTTCGATCTTCCCATCGGTGGTTCTGTAATCGATTCTATCTAAGAATGCTTGCACTCAACCAATTACATACAACCAATTAAGCCAAGATGTGCGGATGAGAAAAGGTCAAGCTACGCTCCCCCAGTTATCCTGGATATCGCTGTTCTACTTTTGTGCAGTATTCCTCAGGTGAAGAGAAAAACAAAAACAGGATGCTGATAGTTGCTGAACTATAGAATAATTATTTAGTCTGACTGGTATAAATACTGACAAAGGCGAGCAATAAAAACATTTTTGGATTTAGGTTGTTAATTATTTAATAATTCAAATTGTCTGTTATCTCACTAGGAAGAGACCGAGAAGGTGTATCTAACCAGTAAGAGCATACAACTTCCTGTGAAATGGACTGCTCCAGAGGCCATTACCAACAACAGGTTCAGCATAAAATCGGATGTCTGGTCCTTCGGAATTCTGCTTTACGAGATCATCACTTATGGAAAGATGCCTTATCCAGGTAAACAAATGCTGTTGTTTCAGGTTTAGTGTTTATTGTGAAGTTTAAACCCTTTTGTAGCGTTTACCAAGAAATGTCTCATATTTGTCCATTTTAATTATTAAAGCATTAACAACTCTCTGTTTACTGTGATTTTTCAGACCTTTCAAACCAACAAGTAATCTACCAACTTTCTCAAGGCTACAGAATGCTATGCCCTCCTAACTGCCCCGAAGTTATGTACAAAATCATGATGGAGTGCTGGAAGGAAAATGAACAGGAACGGCCTACGTTTGAAACCCTGCAGTGGAAGCTGGAAGACATTTTTGATATGGATGTGATTACCTACTCCTAGCGACGATTCCTCCTCGAAACTAGCACAATAATCAAACTAACACAAATGAAACAAAAATACTTTTGTATATTTAATAATGTGAAATATATGACAACATTTGAAAGACGTGATATAAAAAGCTCGAAAAACATAACTGATGACCCTGGAGCAGATCAAAGCAATGTTCATGCGCTGGAGCAACACAGAGTGAGCGGCAGATTTTCAGTCTACTGGATTGCACAATCTCAGCTGCAGCTAGCATTATAATTAGACCCCTTCCTAGAAAAAATTTCATCTGAAGATTTAAGTCAATCAATCTAAAAATCCAAGATTTGTAGGTTTAACTGAATATAGTCAATGGTTAAACCAGGCGTGTGCAAAATCTTGGACCCGTAGGCCACAACTGTGCTAAAATTTAGGAGCAGATAGATGGAGCCTTCGTGTGAACTAAGATAAATGACACATAAAAGTCATGCATAAAGGCTAAAATACTAAAATGCTTTTTATCATCATCATCGCCATCTAGTGGGGAAACGGTATGGGTATTGCAGGGAAAAGGCAGAAGTATAATGATAATATTAATTAGTTATATAATTTTGGGAAAAAAAAATTGGCAGACAATTAAAAAGATGAATGGGCCACATCCGGCCACATTCATTTTACACAACGATCTATCAGTGTATGTGCAGCAAATATGAAGCAATCAGAAAAAACTGAAGACACTGCTAAATCTCAAAAGCATTACGGCAAAATGCTAAACTATGAACTCTTGCCGCCATGATAACTGTTATATAGCATATCTATATGTATGTACGTATATACGTATATATGTATTAACAAACCTATATATGTGTGTTTATGTACAAATACATTCACGTATGTTTACTATAGCGTGATCCTTTGCACATACAGTATGATTTTACGTTATTTGAGTGTAATGAATAATTGTACGTTTTAACCATGCTAATATTCCAATGGAATTTTGATCTTTTCATCATACAATAAAGTGAAATATTTATTACATTGTTGCTCACGGTATTCCTGGTTGGCAGTTGGTCTTTCAGTTCAGAGTTGTAATAAAGTTGAAATACTATTGAGAACCTGATAACGTGTATATTTTTATCTGTACAAACCACTGCATGAGTTGCTGCCACCTAGTGACTGGAGGCTTGTTTTTCTAATTCTTTAGACTATGGTTGCTAATGTCACCCAACAGAGGGGGCTGTAACCTCGGTGTCTTCCATTCAAAGACCACTTAGTAACTTTAAAAAAGTTTTAAAAATATATTTTATTTATTTTTATTTTCATTAATGATCATTGTCCTCCTCACGACATTCTCATTTAATCCTGGCCTACGTCTAATTTGCAGTTAATCCCAGTGGTTCTTATGTATGTGAATACAACCCAGTGACTGATGTATTGACCATTGTATTGTGGGAACTTGCATTTAAAAGGGACGGCGCGCTCTGCTGTTGAGAACTAGGAACTGCACTGGTTCGCTGCGAGTAAAGTACAAATATTTTTATCTTTATTATGAGTTTTATTTTTAAGTAGTCAACACAACAAAACTTTGATGACCTTTAATGTGCTCCGTGAGCAGCTAACACAGTCTGCAGTACTATTATGTCTCTAAGTGTAAGTTTTACTATCCCAGACCTTATAAATAACATATTTATATGTCCTCTAAATTCAGCTTTGAAATTGATTTTCACCACTCTCGTGAGAATCTGTATTACTTTCACAAATATTACCCCAGACCTCTAGTGGTTAAAATTAGGCAGCACAAGTGAGTAGTACAAGATTCTTGTTGTTTTGATAAGCCCACAAAAGCACGATTCTGCTAAGATACACCGGACTTCAAAAAGCATCACTAATAACATCATAAACTCATAACCTTTTACTATACCACTAATTAATCTGTTGTCCAGACTAACCATGCGTTCCAGTTCTAAGTCCTTTTCTTGCTTCTTCCATGATAATGATGAAATTATAGCATCAGTTTTGATTTGGTAGAGGCTGAGAATAGCTACAGTGAAGCAATGGACGCAGGGAAAACTTAATTTTGGAGCACGCAAGTTGCTAGATGGAGTTTGCCAAAATCAAGACTGTGCATTATTTGACCATCCAATGAAATCACTTCAAATCATCAACGCAACCGTAAGCCAGTTAGAAGGTCTTGGTGTCACCAACTCGTGTCTCGCCTAATTGTTTGACAAAAAAAAATTGCATTAGATTAATTTCAGGTAGTACTATTGATTCCAAAGGCCTTAGGGCAGATGTATTTCACCCGAGGCTGAAATATGATTGGATAAAAAAAAACTTTTGTCTACGTGACTGGAAGCGACACAACCAAGAGAAAAGTTGAGAACAAGAATGTATGATGACAACAGACTATTTGGTATTATAACCGTATATGAATATTCATGATAAATATATATATAAAAGTAGTTCAACACAAAATTTAACCACCGCATTTTAGCCATCACCAAACTAAACAGGGGGTATTTTGGATTTGAACCTGAAACCTTCCAGACATTAGTCCGCTTCCTTAACCGCCGCTTCCTAACTGCCGTCTCAGTGACACTGCTCGCAGCAGCTGCACCTGCTGTCGGACGCAAACAAGGGCATCATATGGCACCAACGACCTTCCCTTACGACTTAAGTGCTTCTCACCCCCTCTGGCTGATAGGTCACCCACATCCATCATTCCAACAACATGGTGATCAGCCAGGTTCATCAAGTTCAATTACTCTGTGCTCTCATTTGTAATTGTGGACAGGCCTCAGTGTTGACATGACAGGACAAAAATTCAGCAAATTCTTACACGTGGATGCAAATGTGTGATTTTTTTTCCCCCTTTGCAGAAAAGTCACTGAAACATTGAGACAATAAAATAGGAACAGCAATAGCAAAACTTGGACGCAGGGATTTTGGGGACACGTTTCCAAGGATGAGTTGTGAGCTCCAGTTCCACTTTGCTGAATAGGGTCTATGCAGATAAATGGAGTCATTGCAGTGTAATCATATATATTCAGAGCCCAGGAAGGCAGTCAGGGAAGCCGCTCTGTTGGATGATTGCCTGCCTTCTTCTATAGCAACTCAAATGACCACGGTTTGATCATTTGCACCGTGCTCTTCCTGTGACGGGTAGAGGCAATGTCAAAATCTCAGCAACAGCCTGCTTTTAAAAAAGATGGAAAAATAAAAGCTGTTTTTTTAAAAAAAAAAACTACCGTATTTTTACATTTTCGTGTATTTTTACTGTAAGAAAAACCATATATAAGTCGCTCTGGAGTAAAAGTCACACCAGCCAAAGGATGAAAAAAAGTGCGACTTACAGGAGTAGCAGATATTATTGCACAAGCCTAGAGTGCCCTCTAGCGGCTATTAGTGTGAAAATAACAAACATGTAAATTTTCAG